CTAATGCCACCTAGCGGGTAGCTGAAAAAGATAGTACATAGTACCACTACTCGCCACTAGATGTCGTTAAGTGTCACAATACACAATAATAATTGAAATGCAAAAAAGGCGTAAGTTTGCTTAGGTCACGCACTTTGCGACCATCCTAGTCTAGAAATATAGATAAGGGCTGAAATTGGTCCTTGGAACAAACTGAAAAATCATTATGGCCCGAAGGCTTCAAGGTTTGGAGACTGCTGGTCTAAATTATATACTAGAGTTGCAGATAGGACACAAATATGTTCGAGCACAATGTTTATTTACGACCTGTTAGTAGTGGATCTAGTTCGGCTCCTAGTAGCCTTCTGAAAACCGGTGGGACGAATTTCCTTTACCTGTTTCGTAATCTTCGGCATTTCTGTAACTTTTGTGGATGTTTCACCTCTGTTTTTGGTTTTGTTTAGTACTGGTTGATCCGCTGTTTTTGTGCTGTTCCTATTGGAAAAGATTGGCGTAGAAGAAGCACTGTTTGGCTTTGAGTGAGCTGCGTCTTCCTCAGTTTCGATTTTTTCCAGTTCTTCTGATGAGTATGATTTACCATCAACAATAAGTTTGTTTCTCCTTATAAAGCAGTTCCTATTATTTCCGTCTAAGCGAGCGAGATTGAGGTGTTTTCTCAGTATTTGTCCTTCCTTTCTTTGTTTGACTGTGAGATCCTTCGCAATTTTTATGTGTGTATCCTTAAGCTTGAAGCAATTTTTCAAAATTAGGCCTTTTCGAAAATTATTAGTCAGTTCAATTTTCACTGGAGGATTATTTCCTTTTCCTATTGTGTACAGGTCGCTAATTTCACTTTGGTTGATCTCGACGTCGATTAGTTGTTTTATTTTATTGATAATGAATTCAGGCGTTATGTCCTTACTTGGCTTATGCAATCCGAAAACTATAAGATTTTTCTTTTTACTCTCTCTTTCAAGTGATTCTACTTTTCCCTTCAAACTTTCGTTTTTCTGTTTAAGTTTGTTTATTTTCTGTTTCTCCTCCTCTATTTTCAACAAGAGTCGTGTTTCAGTTGCTCAAATCAAATTTTTTAGTTCATTTCTGGACTTGATAATTTCATCAAAGATGTGGTCAAAGTGTGTGGTCCCCTTTATGAATTCAACGAAAAGAGTTCCGATAAGGATTTCCGATAGGAATTTGTTTGGTTAATTTCAAGTAAATATTTAGATTGATCATCACATTCGACTATTATCATTTTCAGCTGGTTGCTAGTATGTGGATTATATTTACCCTTCCAATGGAGAAGAAATTGAAATGGCACTAACAGTTTTTCAGTTGTTAAACTCAAAATATCAAAGCACAATTAAACACATCTTGTCGTGTGAACGTATCGACAAACAACATCTCTGAATAAACTCCAAGCTTTTGAGAAGCAGCCTTTGCAATTCCAGCGGCATGATTGTGCCAAGACATATTGATGTCCATTTTAATCCCCAACAAACTTATCGAAGCAGAAAGCGGAATTGTCTGACCTGCCATTATTATATCCGGTTTGGAGACATGTGTCTTCTTGGAGAACACCGATGACTGGGTTTTTGTGGCATTGAATTGAAACTGNGGAAAATGCAAATATCTAAGTAAATGGAAATCGACTGAGATTATTATATTTCGAATATTATGAAAACTGCCGGTTGAGTACTAAATATATTAATGTTGAGATAGCTTCTCTTTTATTATTCTTTTGAATGTCGCCATCGATTTTATGAAGTCAGTGATCCGAAATTTATTCAGAAGATTTGCCGTGCAGTATGTGAAGGAACGTTTGAATATCTCTTCATTATGGTAGGGTAGGTATAGTTACAATTCCTCTTCTACGAATATTGACATTATGAACATGGCTTTTAAAGATGATTTTTCTGTGTAAATAAGGAGGTTTTTCGTATTTTAAAATTTTATAGAAGAAACAGGTTGTATGAAGTAGCCTTCGATTATTCATAGTCATCTAGTTTATTTCCTTCAGTTTATGCGACACTCTCTGTCTTCGCCTTATACCAAATATCAACCTCAAACAAGAATTTTGAAATTTCTTAATGCGTCCGGAATCTCTATTATCTAAACACAGCCCATATATACTATCACAGAAGTTCATGTGTGAGAGAACAATTTAATCACATAGTTCTTTCTTTGTGCTCTGATTTAGAAATTTTATCTGGGGGTAGATCATCTTCAAATTAACATAGCCAATTCTCAACTTTGACGTGACGTGCTCCATGAATTTGAGTTTATTGTCAATTATCAAACTCAGATTTCTAGCGGATGTTCTGAAAGAAATAATCTCATTAGCCATACTAATGTTGCCAAAGATGCCTGTAATTCTTCTCTGATTCTATCGTTACAAAATGTATAGCCATGGATTTTTTTGTATTGATTTTCAATAAATGTTCATTTGATATTTCAAAAAGTTTTTGCAGATCATAGTTGGGGGCATATTCTGCTGCTGCAATATCTGATGGGTTGAAGGAAAAGTTTATACAAAATTTACCATAATGAAGATCCTAATGGGTCGGGCATGCCAGCCTGTTATCCAGAAGAAGAAGAGATGAAAACTAACAAAACAGTAATTTTCTCCAGCCCAATATAATATGCATATTCAGTTAATGTCACCCAATGTCACCTAAGGTGATATACAGATTAAAAGAAGTGATTCACGTATAATGAAATATTAATTTTTGGAAGTAGTTCTTTTTAGTTATCTTTATCTCCTGAAGACACCAACTCGATTAGTGATAGGCGCGTCGAGAAGAGTGTTGCGTTTCTGATCATTGGAAAAAGTGCTTGTTTTTAGAAGAAGAGAAATGTTGCATCATTTTGAAAACGTATTTAACTCATGACTTATTAAAATTTCGATGACACTCATTGAAAACGAATTCTGTGTCACGTTCATCGACAGTAAACAAGAAAAATAACGATAAGTACTAACACCATTCATTAAATTCATATAAATTCGGTTTTAACTAGGCTATCTTCTTCGTTTTCCTCCATAAATTTGATTTCTAATATTCAAATTTCCATACATTACTTTAGGAAATGTGATGGGAAAATAACATCATGCCTCACGGATCTGAATATTCAAGTGAAGACATTCGGGTGATTAAAAATGATGACCTAATTATACTACACACATACAAGATGATTGATGAATTCAGAATGGATCTGGTACATGTTTATCCACGTGTGTGTTTGTCCACGCATTTCTCCGAAAATTATAGTTGCATTGTGACTATCATTTTTCATTACTTTGCTTTATTTTCATCAAAACCGATTTCGTAGTTTTCAAAATATACGTATTATCAGGAAGGTCTGTCTTATTGATACCAGTTACCCGGAAACTATGATGATACAGCCATATCGTAGTTAAAACTTCATATTTGAATTTAACGTATCATAATCGTGACTTGGATTGCTAACAAAAAAATTATAAACGGTAAAAGCCAAATTATTTCAACAGTACCCAGTCTCCCTTATTTTAAAAGAAGTTGNAAGTTCTGAATAACTTGCATGACTTCAGATTCATCAGTTTTTTCTGGGAAAAAGGAATTCATAATTTTGGTTTCAGGCTTTTTTATAATTTGGTCTTTTTGTATTTCATCGGATCTCGGGTTTTCATAAAAAGAGTATAAATAAACTCAAAAGTTGTCAATGAATTATTTAATATTATGGGAAATTAAAGTAGCGGTGAATTCAGATTTTTGTAATGTGCCAATATTACAGCTAAAATATTATTTTCTTTGATAAAGATTCTAATTGAAGCCCTGACCTAACTCTTAGTGTTTGGAATATCCTGCTGTATCAATCTGATGCTTTATAACAGTAAATATTCCGACACCTGTATATTTTTGTTTGTTAAACTTTCTCGTGGAAACTGGTGATCGACGTGCTCAAGTTTTACCATACTTAAGAACGTTACTTTTGAAATTAATAGCATTATGCAATGTCATATTTGAGATGAAAGTTTTTCTATCGGACGCTATCAGGAATCTTTCGGTGTAATCGGGTTGCTATATTACAGTTATGGCCTCAAGAAATATTCTTGAAATACAGGAAGTCATAAATAGTAGCCAGTTGATTTATTTGAAATATTCAATATTGTAGAATACTATGGATAAATCAAACACCAGAGATTAAAATTCAAAACGGTATATTTTAGGGAAAAGAAAGGTTTTGGCTTTATACTCTTTCATCTCTTTACAAAAATGTGGGAATCTTTGATGGTTACTCCGATACCAGTAAAAATATCAAAGCGATGGAACAACTAAGACGAACCGCAGCCGTTTCTACGTCTTGTGAAGTGCACTTCAATGAATCGATTTAACAAAAAAAAATTAATTTGATTGCTCATTGTGAATTTCGAAAACGTTGGTATTTCTACAAGACAATCACGTGATGATGCTGACGTCTCAATAGTTGAAACCGCAATTGAAAAATCAATAAATAATACTACAATTATCGTTGCTGAAGACATAGATCTATTGGTACTTCTCATAGCACGCACACAAATACTTGGTCAACCTACATCCATTTTTTTTAAGAAATCAGGAAAAAGCAATCTTGAAACAAAAATACACTCGACTGAGAGCGTCAACAAGTATCCACACTTCAAAAAAAATATTCTGTTTCTACATGCTATGATCGGATGTGACACAACTTCAACACTTTTTGGGAAAGGAAAAATCAAAATCATGAAGATGTTTGAAAAAAGACCCGATTTACACAATTCTGCAGAAATTTTCCAACAAGAAAATTGCGCTCGAGTAGCCATTGTCAATGTCGGAATACATTATTTACTAACAATGTACGGTGCTCCAAAATCAAAAAATTCAATTGACAATTACAGATACTGTAGCTTTGCTAAACTAACAAGACAAAGCACAGCTGTGAAATTTCAATTATCACAACCCACTTCTTCAGCAGATCAACAGCATATTTATCGAGTCTATTAGCAAATACAAACCTGGCTAGGAAAAGANTCGCTGGAGATTGAATCCATTTGGAAAAACGTTCTCAGGAAGTTTATTCCACTCAAACGCAGTTCTCCAGATGAAAGAGTTCTTGAACAGTGAAGTTCGAGGTGTACTGAGTTGAACCTCAAAACGATTAACAGTCCGTCGCGTATTTCTCACATGTACCGCCTTTGGTAGAATCAAACGTGCCAAGTGACTTGAATACTTTTTGTGAAAGTATCTATAGAAGTAAGACGAATCTCCAACCTTTCTTCGATATTCCAGAATATCAAGGTTGCAAGTGATGTTCGCGTCTGCAAACAGGGAGATGGCTCTTTTCTGGATGGAATCCAGCTAGGGACAGAGCTCCATACATGAGAACAATACTCCAAAGGTCTGATCTAAGCTTTATAAAGCATCAAAAGATGCTTAGGTATGTACAGTTTTGTCATTCAACACAGTGTTCCAAGCTTTGCAATTCCAGCGACATGATTGTGATAAGACATATTGGTGTCCATTTTAATCCCCAACAAACTTATCGGAGCAGAAAGCGGAATTGTCTTTCCTGACATTATTTTATCCAGTTTGGAGACATTTATCTTTATGGAGAAAACCGATGCCTGGGTTTTTGTGGCACTGAATTGAACCTGGTTACTTTCACACCAATTCGATACAAAAATAATAAAATCGTTAAGCGTAGCGCAACCTGAGTAGATATGTTGATACTCATGAGGCTCAGGTGGCTCTCAAAGCCAGAAAAAAAAAGTTTCAATGATATGAACATGTTGTTCAACTGTTTGTTTCAAATTGTATTGAATTCTCCAAAGCAAAAAAATTCGAATAACAAAAAACATTGAGATCAAACAAAATATTCCGCACGCTAAACAACATAAAAATTGAAACAAGTTACGGTAATAACGTAAATCTGTTTAAATCTGTTTAAAATCTGTTGAACTGCAATCGATAATTCATTGAACATAATGTCTTTCAATGGATGTAGTACGTTTTGGAAAACATTTTCACAATGCAGATGCTCAATAACCCT